GTGACTCGGTGGTGTAGTGGATAACGCCCTGGTGTTTGAAGCGATCGCTCCCTAGTCTGAGTCCCGTTGGGAACAACATCACTCACTGGGAGGCATCAGGTACATCCATCTGACCAGTGAGTCCCAAATAGGAGGAAAATCGCATCCTGGATATCACTGCTAGCCACTGTCTCTCATTACTATGCATAATTAAATACAGGCAATATCGAGGCATCCTCACATATGCCAACAGAGACTTATCATCTCAGTCCAATCAACCATTATAATCAGTATGACGCTTTGATAAACCCTTTTTAAGTGTTTTTTGTTGTTCGAATTTATCATGCACTGATATCAGTCAGAGAAACATTGGAAACCTGGGAGTAGAGAACAGCTGTCTCATCTTAGTAGGGGACTCTCTAGCAGTGCTCACCCATGATTTTCATGACCCCTTTTCAACTCATGTTTTTCCTCACCATCTTTTTTTCAGATGTATCTTTGTGAGGATGAAGAGTTCTTTAGTCTCAACTGTAGTTTTTTCTATCTTCTTTCTTCTTGATTACCACTGCTTCGATGAACTGATAAGAACAACATATCGAATAGCCTTCATCAGGTGACCGCACAGTTGAAACCTATTCAGTCTAATAAATGAATATTGTCTCATTAAAATATGATTGATTTAAACAATTTGATATACTTCAAGTTATCAAGTGAGTATAAACTGAATAGTCTATTAACTTTGATTACTAATTGTCTTCGCTACTGAATCAATATATGAAAGCAGTGGAAAACGATAACTTAAACTGGTATCTTAGAAGTCAGATAGGTAAAACATGTTATTATATGGATAAAAAATTGTCATTTAGGGAAGGGAATTCACATTGATATCGTTATCTAAGAGTTTTTTGCAATACACATACTATTGTATTTGAATTCTCATGATAAGAAAACACTTATGTATTGTAGGGATAGACTTCCTCAAGTGTACTAAATTATCTCCAAGTTTTTTCTGTATCATATCAATTCAAAACACATTTTACATATACGAAATATCAATTATGATGAAAGTGAGATGTTACGAATGAACTACTATTCTAGATGAAAAAGTAAACATGACTAAGTTTATAATTATTATTTGTCCCTTGGGTTCCTAGTGGAACATACAGATTCAGTAACACATCTCCATTACACTCTCTTCTCTTCTCTGAAATCCTTTCAACCTGACTCCACCAATGCCCACAAGCACTCATTTCTTCCAAATACCATCTCCCAAATGTCACACTCTTCTCACACGAACAACTCGTCCTTTCCCATCTGGGTTCCATTCGAGTGCCTGATCTGACACGTGAGGTCCCTAGTCCGCCTTCTCAGTGTATGCTCAATCCAATCCATCTCCATTCCTCTCTTCTGCATATTTGTTGAGTGACAGGTTCATGGTTGGTTAGTTCGTTGCCAGAGTTCTCGTTGCGTATTCTTTCTGGCCATCTGATTTGATATTTAGTAATGAGCCAGTGTAGGCAGTTGTTGATGAATATCTGTAGTTTGTTGGAAATACATTTCGTAACGCGCCAAGTCTGTCAACCATGTAGGAACACTGACTTGACGTTGGTGTCCAAAATCCGGATGTTGTTCACGCTTTATGCTGAGTGAAATGCAGTGCAGTGCAGTGCAGTGCAATAGATCCCACACTGGTTTCACGTTAATCAACTTCTGTCTCGCTATCTTTCCCATCCTGGCTGTCTTTGACGTCCCCGTCTCTGTCTATGCCACCGTCTGTCGTTGAAACGATGCTGCTGCCTAGGTAGGTGTAGGTGTATGTGTAGGTGTAGGTGTAGGTGAAGGAGGCTAATTGCTTTAAGTTTCTCCCGTTGATGGTGATTGGTGTTTGTTGTTGTTGGTGGTGGTGATGGTGGCGGTGTTGGTTGGGTATCATCATCACCTCTGTCTTCTCAACATTAACGTGAAGTGTTGTCTTCCTTCGCTGCCTCACCTCTTCTAGGTTCTTTTCTCTGTCCCGGCGTATGCCCTTCTTCTCGCTCCTCACTGTTTGTTGCATGATGCAGTCGGCTACAGTCAGGAATATCATGGGTGATAGTAGACAGCCTTGTTTTACTCTTATCTTCACTTCAAGAGCATCATTGAGCTTCCCATTGTGAATTTGACGAAGTTTAGATGGAGTTAATGCATAAATAACAACATATCTGAGATAGCCATAGTTTGGTACTGCATAATAATTGATGATGAAATAAAAATTCGAACAGTTGTAGGATTCCAGTCATCGACCAAGAAGTCTGAGAGTCGTTGAGCATAAACTTTTAGTGACTGAATTGGAATAAAAATCTGATCATCAATGAAATCTTGTAGGTAAGCTAGTATTTCAGTGGGCTAGAAATTTAATGATACCTAGTTGGAATCCAGTCATGTTTCAAATCTTCATTTCACCTTCAATCATCAGCCAGTATCAAGATATAAAATGTTGAAGTAAAAACTAGGTAATAAAATTTAATAGTTAAATTATCTTAAAATGAATGAGAAAATTTTGGAAAAAGTATTTTCTAATTTTTAGTCATGTATACCATTATAAGAGGATTATAATTCTAAAAAGGATGAGATAAGGTTATTGTTTTCTCATCATACTTGACCAACTGCTTAGAATAGTATTCACTGAAAAATTTATTTCAAAACTTATTCAGTTGATTTATATGAATGAGTACTTTGAGGAAAAATTTTAACAAATAAAATTTCAATTAAAGTTTTACTTTCATTGTTTGAATGAATCAATATTTTTGGATATTAAAAATATTTACTATTGTTTTGTAAATGAACTATTGTTCATTACATATTGATTAACTACATCATCAATGTTTTCATTTTTTTTTTCATATTTTCTTTCTACTAGAAAATTTCTTTAGCCATTGAATTGGTCTTTACTAATCTCAAATAATCAGTATGAAGATCTATTGCACTGCAGTCTACACAAAGAACAAGATTAGGATTTTCAACATTAATTCAATCAAGCCAGTACTTCTGTATAGCTGAGAAACTTAGCGTGTCACGAAAAGCATTTCCAACAAACTACAGACATTCATCAACAGCTGTCACCCACGCTCACTTGACACTGAAGATAAGATCAAGTGGTCAGAAAGAATAAGCAACAAGGAACTCACTCTGGCTGACAACGAACCATCCATGAACCTATCACTCAACAAATATGCACAAGAACAAATTGGAGATGGATTGGGCATACATTGAAGAGGCCGATTGGAGACATCATGCACTAGGCCAGAATCTTGAGTAGAATTCAAAGGGGAAACAATGAGTTGGGCATCCGAAGTGAGGGTGACATGGAGGAGATGGTGTAAGGAAGAAATGAAAGCTTGTGGGGAGTGGAGGAGCGAGGTTGAAAAGAGTGGAGAGAAGAGAGTGGAATGGTGACGTGTTACTGAGTCGGTACATTCCACTAGGAACCCAAGAGAAAAATAATAATACATCGCTAATGCCGAAACTTTTAAGTTCGGTGTTTATGAAACAAACAAACTCAATAACTTCGCTTCATACACTGACGTCAAATCATTGGCCTTCAAAACACACACTATACTCTACATTCTTACTGCAGATACACAATAGTACTTTTCTCAGTCCCTTGTCAGATCTCTCAGTAACTTCTTTGATCTTATGCAGTCACATAGTAAGTAAACTATGGTATATTTGATATTCTTGAAGATGATATAATATGGAGCTAAACTAAATCTAGTAGAAAATGAGATAAAATGCTCATAACTGCAAGGAGCTCATTTATATCATCAGGTTACATAGACAAAAGTTTCTTTTCAATGATAAAATATATTTTTGATGTATCGTTATCGTTTATGATCTTTTCAAAGATATGATACAATAACAACAGTATGTGATGTTGAAAAGTCGTAAAACTTAACAAAGTACACTTACATTTTATCTTATTTGAAAAAAGCCACTCAAGTGAATATGTACCGTAACTAGCTAATATTTTAATTTTACTCAGTAATAAGTTATTCATTTTTTATATAAAACAAAATTCTATTATAGTTACCACGGTTCCACTTAAAAAGAAACTACTTATTGAAATAAAACTCAAGTTTACGAATCATGTTTACTTCCCGAAAAATCTGTTCATTTTGGGTTCCTAGTGGAACATACGGCTTGAGTAGCATGCCTTAATTTCACTTCCTTCTCTGTGATCTTTTCAACTTCGCTCTGCCACTTGCCAATAGGTTTTCATTTTTTCCTCTCATATGATCTACTCCATGTCACCCTCACCTTGGATGCCCAACTCATCGTTTCCCATCTGGTTTCCACTCGAGTGCCTGGCTTGGCACTTGATGTCTCCAATCGGCCTTCTCAGTATATGCACAATCCATCTCCGCTTTCTTCTGAAACTTATAATTTCCTCCATCTCGGTTAGCCCATGCACTCCTCTGTGCATGCGTTGATGGTTTCAAATATTCACAATGTTTTATTCATCTTGTTGACTAGCAGTGGAACTAAAAATGAGCGTTTTGTTCTACTTAGGACTTGTCAACTAGATTGACCTACTGAAACTCGGTACATATTGAGTTAGAATATTAGTGAAAACATCACTTACTGTGGTAAACATGTCAAATAGGATAAAAAGCCCATTCTGAATACTGTAAAAAGTTTAGTAAACTCAATTTCTAAGCGAAATGACATTGTATATCATTTTGTTTGCATAATATTCATATAGTCTACTGATGAAAACCATATTTTTAACCTCTTTCTTCTTGCTGAAGTAAATGAAAGTAAGCTAAACTAAAGAAGCAAACCTTATCTCAGTTAGAAATAGTTATCTTTTCTTCAACAATAGACTAATATACTTTCAACTATATAGTTTAAAATTGACAGTAATATCAATGAAATGATACCTTAGAGTATCCGTTTTTGTGTAGTCTACTTTATTATTAATTTATAAACATATTTTATGAATGGTATAAAACTGAAGGTTACACATCTTAATAGATACTTACTCATATGATAGATATGATTCGATTCGTTGAATAAATAGTGAGATCAGAAGGGAAAAAAACTATTCCCAGAACTTCAATAAATTAAATATTCACGGGTAAAATGATATCAATATGATTGTTTTAATGCGAAATATTTGATAGTAGTATAAGTTATCATTTATTCAAAAAAAAATGAAGAGTTAGTGTAATCTTAACAATTAATGAAAGCGATTTCACAATTTAATTATATAATGTTAACTAGTATAGAAAATAAGTCAATTTATTGTAGGCTAATAGGGAATCTGTATAGACTTGTATAATGAACCAATCAGAATTCAAGAAAATCTCTAGTATATCCATCCCTCTTATGACATATATACACTTTAATTTCCATGGTGTTGAAAGTTGTAAATATTTTTGATATAGAACTGTAGGAGGTTAATCATTTCAGTTCTTATCTTGTAGTCTATACTACTTGATTGACTTTTAACATTGTTATTATTCAAACTATTTTTATAAATTTTAGGTTGCCAAATTTTCCATTGTTTTTGCTACCCTTACTCACTTTTTTTCAAAATACTCTTCATCTCGAAAAATTTAAAAAGAAAAACAATAACTTAAAAAGATGTGATACTTGTTAAGTGATATTTATTAGTAGATAATAGAAATGTAAATGAATATGAATGACATTCATAGTGGACTTTCCAACTGTTTTATGTTTCAGCTGAATAAGGGAATGATATAGTTCCTTCCTTTTTTTTTCTACTCGAATAACAATACACAGACTATGAACAAGTACCCTTCTAATGTCAACTTCAACTGTTTACGTGTAGCCACTAAAGCAGATTCATTGGAAGAACAAAAAATTTGGGCGTACCAAAGTTTTTACGAACATATTCCAAATGGCTGACAACTGTAGCTGAGGTAACAGTTTAAACAGTACATACATTGAACATCTGAATAACATTGAACATCGAACCTTACAGATAATAGATAAACAAATGAGCTCAGTTCTACTGAAGTTTGCTGAAGCCATAGACATTAAATGTCCTAGACCTAATCTATGTGTGTTCAACAGGAAGTCATAGCCGAACTCTATCTATTCTGGTAACTCTTTCTAAATGTTTATCCATTTACTTGTGAATTGACAGAAGTTGGAAATATGGACCATTGGATTTCGACTCATCAGCTCAAAGGTAACGTGCTAGTCACTAGACCTGAATATCCTAGGCTAGATCCCTGGGAAGGCGGGGTCATAAATATGCACTGGTTAGCAGTTGCACACAAGGACGAAAGAACTTGTTGTCTAGTGCTCCTAGTTTTCCAATGTTCCTCCAAATTATGTCAGTTCATGATGAATAGCAGCCTAAAGTGCACTATTTCACTTATTTATCGTAAGACCTACTTAAGTAATCATATCATATCAATTCCCTTAATGTTTTGATTGCACCATTGTCATTATTTTATTCTGGAGACTTCAATTAGATTATGCATATAATTATGACCATTTATGAACCCTTTTTGAACTTCGCACCATGACTGACATTTACTCGATGACTGTTTCTGTTCTTCTTAACCACTGACTAGTAAGGTCAACCAGGTGGAAGTGAAGCGAATGCCAACTGAACACTTTGGATGATAGATGCACAATTGCATGAACTGATAGAGACAGGAAATTATGGACCATTCAAAAATCGACTGAATCACCGTGAAACTTGCAGGTCCTACTATTGTTAACAAGGATGAGAAAGCTGTTCAGTGCTCTCAGATTTTCAACAGTACTCCGACTGATGTGAATCTGTGATAAATACCACCTTAGGAATTAAAGCATGTTAAGTTTTCACTAAAATAGGAAGCTCAGTGATGCTCTTGAAGAGAAGATAAGAGTAAAACAAGGCTGTCTATTATCATCCATGATATTCCTGACTGTAGTCGACTGGATCATGCAACAAACAGTGAGGAGCGAGAAGAAGGGCATACGCTGGACTGCGGAAAAGAACTAGAAGATCTAGATTTCGCCGATGACTTGTGCCTGATGTCACACCCTGGTGCATGATGTCTCAAATCGGTCTTCTCAGTGTATGCCCACTCCAATACATATCCACTTTCTTCTACATATTTGATGGGTGATAAGTTCTTGGTTGGTTCCTTCTCAGAATTCCTTGTTGCTTATTCTTTCTGGCCTTCTGATCTGATCTTTAGTATCGAGTGAGCATAGGTGGCAGCTGTTGACGAATGTCTGTAGTTTGTTGGAAATGCTTCTCGTAAGGCACCAACTCTCTCAACCATCAAATGTAAGCACTGACTTACTTGACTGACATTAGTTTTGAAAATGTGGATGTTGTTCACGCTTTGCGCTGAGTGCGGTGCAGATCTCCACACCAATTTCAGATTAATGTAGGAAAGCCTGTCTTGCTTCTCCGATCCTGGTTGTCACATTCTCATGTGTGCCTGTGCCTGTTCGCCTGTAGTTGAAATGATGCTGCCTAGGTAGGTGAAACAGACTACCTCCTTTAAGTTTCTCCAATTAATGGGGTTTGGTGCTTGTTGTTGATGCTGTTGTCAGTTGGGTATCTTCATCATCATTCATTTGAAGTCCTGTCTTCACTGTCTTCACTGCCTCTTTTGTCTACTTGTTGGTTTTGCCCATAGATCTTCGAGTTTGTGTGACATTATACATAAATCATCATCGTTGGCGAAATTCAAATCTTGTGTGGTATTTTCATCGGTGAAACAGCATATCCCCATCTTCTCACAGCTCGTCACAGTTTGCTGCATGATCCAGTCAACCACAATCAGGAATATCATGGATGATAGTAGGTGGCAGCCTTGTCTCACTCCTGTCCCCTGTCTTATTTGGAAGGCACCACTATGCTTTTCACTGTGAATTACTCGGCATGTAGTGTCTTCATATACTTGTTGAATGAGGTTGATAAAGGTTTGTGGTATTTGATAGTGTTGAAATGAAGTAAGCAGCTGCCAAATTACTTCTCGGTCGACACTGTTGAAGGCCTTTACAAAGTGGGTGAAATTGAGTTAGAGAGTTGCCATTCTGCCATTGTATGCTCTGTTTTATGATGATGCGTAGTGTTGCAATTTGATCTGCACATGATTTGTTCTTCCTAAAACCAGCCAGCCAGCCTGTTCCAGTCATAATTTCGAATCCAGCACATCTTTTAGTCTCTCCAGGATGATTAAGCCTTATATTTTGCTTGGAGTGGACAACGATAGAGCATGGTTTCTCGGCAGTTCTTGGAAGGACAGAATCACTCTCTTTTGGTGGTTTGACAAGGGAGCCCTCCTTTCAATCAGCAGGTACGTTTCCTTTCAAACCTTCTGCAATAGTGGTTTGTGTGATCATATGCGCTGTCGATGTCTCTGCGTCTGTTTCCAGTACTTATATCGGAGTATCTGTGTTCACTGATAGTTATGTGGCTGGGTTGCTGGAGATATTTCTGAACTAGTTACAGGTTATATATATGTTTTCCGAGGTGTCCTGACCTAGTCAGAAAGAAAAGAGAAAATAGATCAAGTCCAAAGTCGTTTCTTAGAATCCTTAACAGCATGATTAGGTCTCTCCTCTACCTACGATAGTATAAAAGAAGAGTTTCAGCTTCATAAATCGATCTTCGTAGGTTCGGCCAGCCATGCCAAGGCTCATACGAGCAGCTGCTATCTGAAAACTCTTTCCAAACGGTCTGAGTCACCTTACAGACAACGATTTGTCACCCATGTCTAGTTTTCTAGTTTAAACCTAACTGTTCTGTTTCACAATGCTTTAGTGTACTTTTGATGAATGGACAGAGATTCTTGCATTGATCATAAGAATTACGTCTATTTCTTTGTTACAAAATAAGCCGTGTATAATGCTATGTTCTAGCATGTTACAGGATCACTGTTAATATTAACACTGTAAAGTAAATCTCAGCATCTTAAAGGAGGAGAAAACTATGTAGGGTACAGATTAAGTAAAATATATTGATATGTGGAACAAATCAATAGTAAAATGTGTTTCATATACTTAAATCTTACTTCTTCAAAAAAAAAAAACAGTTTTCGAAGTGTAATTTTATGATACTACACCGACTGTTGTCTAACAAAGCCTGGTAAAATGTTTTTATCTAGAGGTGAAAAATATTTCGTATATATATATAGGAAATAAATCGATGGGTTAATTAGTAAGAATAAGTGAATACATTTGTTTAGTTGAATGGGTTAAAATAGAAAATAATAATTACTGTGTGAAACTGTGATTCTAGTCTAACAACTTTTATTGTGTTACACTCATTATCTCATATGCTATCGATCTGGGTAATGATGATGGGTGTGTACTACTTACTATTCAGCTTTAGGATGATCATATTGATGGTCTGCATCTTCTTACTTCTGTTTATTCGTTATTGACAATGATGATAGTTTAAAATTATCAGTGAGTTTCGTTCTCTTTTTGTAAAATTATATTGACTCTACAGATCAAGACATTAGATCTAAACTGTATGATAAGTATTCAATTGTGATTCAAATAGGATGGTGGTCAAAAGATCTTAACAGTTCAAAGAGATAAAATTTATCAGCCATGCTATAGTTGATCAATATAGGTGTAAAACATGGGTACTGTGGTAGAGTTTAATTCCATATTAGATTTGTTTACTTGATTTATAAAGCATAGTGATACAGTAATGATGGATAGTGGCTACCAGTGGAATCAAGGATGCGCATTCCGTCCTATTTGGGACTCACTAGTCAGCTGCGTGTACCTACCTCCCAGTGAATGATGTTGTTCCCACCAGGACTCGGACTAGGGAGTGATCGCCTCAAACACCACAGAGTTATCCACTACACCACCGAACCACGATAGCAACTTCTTGTGTAACGAGTATAGGTTTAGTGTTATTGCTTGTATTACACCATCGTTGATTGGATCCAACTGATCGGTCTCTATTGGCATATGGGCTCCTGTGCTGATGCCTCGATACTACCTGTGTTTTAACTATGGTAGTAATGGATAGTGGGTGGCAGTGGAATCCAGGACGTGTATTTCATTTAATTTGGGACTCACTAGTCAGCTGGATGTACCTGCTTCGCAGTGAGTGATGTTGTTCCCACCGGGATTCGAACTCGGGAGTGATACAGCATTACTTGATGACGTTTCGAACATAAATTATTGCTGATAATCGTATCAGCATAGTCACACTACTTTCGATATCTGATTTTTACACTCCTGTCACCT